AGTCCCCTTTTCTCCATACCCTCACCAACACTTGTTTGATAGTTTGTTGATGGCGGCCATTCTGACAGGTGTGAGGTGATACCTCATTGTTGTTTTAATTTGCATCTCTCTGATGATTAGTGATGTTGAGAATTTCTTCATATGTCTTTTGGCCATTTGTATTTCCTGTTTAGAGAGGTGTCTATTCAGCTCCTCTGCCCATTTTTTAATGGGGTTCTTTGTCTTCCTTTTGTTGAGTTGTATGAGTACTCTATATATTTTGGAAATTAACCCCTTATCTTATGTATCATTGGCAATGATGTTCTACCATACAGTGGGTTGCCTTTCTATTTTGATGGTTGTTTCTTTTACCACAGCTTTTTTATACATTTGTCTACTGATGGACATTTGGGCTGTTTCCAGATCTTAGCTATTGTAAATAGTGCTGCTAGGGTGAGGGTTTTTTTTTTTTTTTTAAGATTATTTTAGAGAGAGAGAAAAAAACATCGATGTGAGAGAGACATATTGATTGATTGCCTCCCACTCATGCCCTGGGTGGGGCTGAGGATTGAACCTGCAACCCAGGTATGTGTCCTTCGAACCCATGACAACACTGAGCCACACCGGCCAGGACCGGAATTCTTTCTAATTGAAAAACAGTTCACAAATTATTTTTGTAATAAGGTAAATATGATGGTGATAGTTTTTAGAGGCTCTGAATTGGTTCATTGGAGGAAACTCCCCAAGGTTTCCTTTGGTCATCCGCTATCAAATGGACTCCTCCAGAGTGTTGCCTAAAATGGTAAAGGAGGTCAGAAGTGTGTATGTATGTAGTGGGAGGGGTCACATATTGATCTGCCCTGAAGCACCCATGCTGACGGCTTGTGCCCCCTTGTCTGTTCAGGTTGGAGCTGAGGACCTGGATGGCTTCCAGGCAGACACAGAGGAAGAGGAAGAAGAGGATGGTGATTGTGTGATGATGGATATCTCGGATGTTGCTGGTGAGAATGGCCCCAGAACCCTCCTCATGCAGGCTGTCAGCAGGAGGAAGAGTACACACCCCCTCACTTTCACTGGCTCTCTTTTGTACTTTATGGGAGTTAAGACTCTGAAAGGTACTTGGTGGACTAGTCTAACCGTGGAGGTGGGCAGTTGGGTCCAGTCCAGGATCTGACTTGGTTTTCTCAGCTACATTTAGGAAACCAAAGAACTGAATGTTCGTTGCCGCTGAGGTGGATGGGAGGTGTCAGGGAGGAAGAGTCCAGAAGGTGGGGTCCGGGCACCAGTGAGGTGCCTCTGAACTGAGCTTCGCCAGGGAAAAGGAAGGTATCAGTGATGCCAGGCTCAGGGAGCCTTAAGTCTGGTGATCCTTGACAGAGCCACTTGGCCTTGGTATCCTAGTTTCCTCCCCTTTGCCATGAGGCTTCGGGGCCAGATTTCTCTCTTCCTGAATGAGCTGAAGAGGGGACAGGTTCTGGCTGAGGGCAGTGAGGGAGGACATCTGTCAAGAAAAGGGGGATGGGTCTGGTGACTACAGCCATGCCCCTTCTCTAACCACAGTTGGATTGGGAGGTGTTACCCTAAGAAAACTCCCAGAACTGTTTCAGACTCCAGTGACAGGGGTACAGCCACTAAAGCCCCTACCTCTCTTGCCTTTGCAGAGGTCCAGGACCCGTGTGGATCCACTCCTGAAGCTGGAAGGCCTATGGGAATGGACGCAAGCAAGAACTCCACACCCTGCAGCTCACTCAGCCCCTCTTGAGTACCCCAACTGGCTGGTGTGTGTGTGTGTGTGTATATGTGCGTGTGTGTATATGTGTATGTGTATAGAATGGTTAGGGTTTTCTCAGATGCTTCCCAGATACTTGAAAGTCCTACGATTCCTGTGTAAAGAGCACTTTGTCCTGCTTCGCATATGCCCCCTCAAGGGTTGGAAAGTATATAGGATGCTTGATTTATTCTTTCTGATATTTGTAAAAATTTTCCCCAAAGCTGTGTATTAATCTTCCCTTTAATAAAGCATTATCGCAATATGTTAGCCTGTACAGGGAATCCTAATTGTGCCCTAAGGATCCTGAGCAGGCACTATGATGAAATGAAATGTTTATAAATGAATTGGAGCCCTGCTGGTGTAATGTGGCACCGGGACTGATATGGATGTGTATAAACTTATTGTCTAGCCCTGACCTGGTGTGTCTGTCATCTTTTCAACACATCGTTTCTGTGAGTGGGTGTGTGTGCCTGCAGCTGTGGCCTGAGCCTGGTGCCCTGTGCTGTGCTGTTAGGTATCCATTCCTTATACCCCATGTGTGGTACTGTGGCATGTGTATCAAGCTTTCCACCTTACAAAAGCCCTGTCCCATCTCTTTGTTGTGAAATCCACCTCCCTGATGACCTAGTTCAGGGTGTGGCTTCTTAGCAGGTGCTTGTGCCCATCAGTTCCTCCTGCCCCTTGGGAGGTGAGCAGGGCATTTCTCCATCTCAAAGACCTGAATCCTGGCTTCCAGATGGACTTCTGGGTCAGCCACACACACCACAGGAGAGTACTGAAACTGAGTGGGGCCAGCTGAAGATGCTGGAGCCCTGGTCTTCGAGGTCCTGGAGCGACCCCACATTGGGGCACTGATAGCCCAACAGAGGCATTTGAGCACACGAAGGCTTCAGGAAGCTGAGATTTTGGCAAAGTTCACACACTCCAATTGGGACTCCTGTCCTACCCACCCCTCATGTTTTTGTGGGGTTTTTTGTTCAGGTAGAGTGGGAGGGAGAGAGAGAGAAACATCGACGTGAAGGGAACACATCGAGTGGCTGCCACCCACACAACCAACCAGGGCCAGGGACAAACTGCAACCAAGGTAGCACCCTTAGCGGGAACTGAACCCGGGTCTCTCTGGACTGCAGGTTGACACTAACTGCTGAGCCAAACCGGCCAGGGCTCATATTAAGTTTTGTTCCTACTTCCCCTACAGGTAAAGAGCCAACAGGCATATGAGTGTGCAGAACAGTTCTTACCAGCTGGATACAGCCAGACAGCAACTCAGCCCTGTTGCTGTGTGGCCGCCAAGACTCCCTCCTAGGTTTTTAGCTCCCACAAAGACCCTGATTCTTCAGGGGCCCCATAGGGGTGGGGCTGAGAAACATCCTAGTTGCAGAGTGAGGACATGAGCCCTGGCCAGGACCTCCTGCTGGAGGCAGGGTACAGCTGAATACAGGCATGTGCACAGGATAGATAGAGGCATGTGTGTTACACCTGTGACATGACTGTTAAGTCCCCATAAGCCTGTTTTAGTTGGGTATCTGACAACTTGCAGTTGAGTTCTAGCAGCAGTTGGGGACAGGAAGGGGACGTAATACCTAAGTAACAGGACGAGGCCATACTGAGTTCCCAAGATACAATAGCAAAGGAAATGGGCCTGGGTCCAACATCTTCTGGTGGCCATGTGTGAGGCAAGGGAATGAATGGAGGCAACTTGCTTGCTGAGGGGCTTACAAAGAACTTTAGCTTTTAAAATCACGTTTGGGCCCAGCCGGTGTGGCTCTGTGGTTGAGCACTGACCCATGCACCAAGAGGTCCCCAGTTCAATTCCCAGTCAGGGCATGGGCCCAGGTTATGGGCTCCATCCCCAGTGAGGGGCATGTAGGAGGCAGCCAATTCATGTTCTCTCTCATCGATGTTTCCATCTTTGTCCCTCCCTTCCTCTCTCTCTAAAATCAATTAAAAAAAATTTGAATAAATAAAAATAAAGTAAAATCGCATTTGGGGCCCTGGCCGGTTTGATTCAGCAGTTAAGAGCGTCAGCCCTGGACAGAAGAGTTGCGGGTTTGATTACGGTCAAGGGCACGTACCTCGGTTGTGGTTTAGTGTTGGGCCCTGGTTGGGGTCATGAGGGAATAGGCCAGTCAATGTGTTTCTCTCATGTCAATGTTTCTCTCTCTCCCTTCCTCCCACTCTACCTGAAGAATAAATGGAAAAATATCCTCAGGTGAGGATTAAAAAAATTACATTTGGGGCCTTGAAGCTTCAAGTCTGTCACTCAGCTGGCAGTGGCCAGAGGACCAGCTGCCAGGCCTCCAAGCAGGGAAGAATCTAGCAGGAACTGGAGCCAGCAGCCCACCTGGTGGTGAGAGGGAGGGGACAATCCAGGTGAATGGTTGAGGGGGCATCTCCCAGCCTGGGTATGACCAGGGATGAGTACCTTGGAGGCTCCAGGCCTGGGTTTCCCTGTTTTAGTTCCCTGTAGCTGTAATGTATCACTACAAATGGTGGCTTAAAACAACAAACTTGTTCTTACAGTTCTGGGTATCATGTCTGTCATGGATCTCACTATTTAAAAAAAAATTTTTTCCCTTTATTATTTCAGAGAGAGAGGAAGGGAGAGGGAGATAGAAACATCGATGAGAGAATATCGATTAGCCGCCTCCTGCATGCCCCCCACAGGGCGATTGGGCCCACAACCTGGGCATGTGCCCTGACCAGTAATCTAACTGGCAACCTCTAGATGCATGGGTTGACGCTCAACCACGGAGCCACACTGGCCAGGTGCATCTCACTACTTTAAAATGCAGGTGTGAACAGGGCTGGTTCCTTCTGGAAGCTCCAGGGGGAATCCATTTCTGTGCCTTTTCCAGCTTTAAGAGGCCACTGGCTCTTGGCTCCTTATTCCATCATTGAAACCTTCAGTGTAGTTCTTCCCATCTATTCTGCTTTTCCTTCCATATATAAGAATTCCTGTATGACACTGGGCCTGTCTAAGAAAACCTCAATCTTCCATCTCAAGGTCCTTAATCACACACAAAGTTCCTTTTGTCACATAAAGTAACACACACAGGTTCCAGGGGTGAGGACATGGATGGACGTCTATGGGAACTTTCTGCAGGGCCTAAGAGGTCCTGGCCCCACAGCCCAGGGTCCCTGGGGCACCCTCCCTCAGCAAGGTGGACCATCCGCTGGGTGACTATAGCTACTGACCTACCTTACACAGCTGGAATTCACCACCAGGAGACTAGTCAAACAGCCTGTTTATTTGGATTCAGAATTTAGTATTACAGAACTCTGTCCTGACAAGCTCAGCATCTCCATCTTATGCCACCATCGCCAGGAGCCCCACGGGGCAGCCTCAGGGTCAGCCGTGGGTGCCTGTGCCATAGCACATGGGGCCCAGGCCCATGCTGCAAGCCCACTCTCCTGCCCAGAGAGGCACCCAAGTCTGTCATGTCTGGGGTTCTGCTAACTAGGTTAATAGCAGCTAGAAAAGGCTTAGACCCAGTGCTACCAAGGACAGCACAGCAGCTGTCCCCTGAAAGCCCTCTGGGTGGCGGTCAAAGGTCAACCGGTGGCTCTCTCCTGCCCAAGGGCTGAGCAAACAGTCCCAGAGGAGGCTGGGAGGCCTTGTAGTGGAGGAAGAATGAGGACATGAGTAGTGGTGGAGGAAGCAGGAGAGCATGAGACAGAGCTATGGGGGCTAAAGCCAACCCTGCTTTTATTTCACTAGAGCTTCTCGATGGTCAACAGGAGCTCGGGTTTCAGGATAGATGAGTCTGGCTCAGCCCCTGCAGCCTTGATGTCCTCTAGCACCGCCATGTCCCACGAGAAGGTTAGAAGGGCTGAGGGCACCTGTGGTGGGACGAGAAGCCTCAGACTTGTTCTGGCCTTTACCTGACAGAGCTCATGTCTTCACATTCAAATCTTTGTGCTGGAGCCAGGGCCACACTTCCAGGGCTACTCCCCACCAGTGACACCAGTGATGGCCATCACACAGCCCATTCCTGAAGCAGTGGCCCCTCCTACAGAGGACCTGGGTTCAGGGACACCTCCTGACCTGGCTAAGGCTCTCAGTGCTGGGCAGCAATCAGGACCTCCTGCCCAGGCCACCTTCCTTCCTGGTCTCCCTGCATTAGTAAATCCCCACATTTCCAATCCCATCTAGGTCCTGCTCCGAAAAGGACTGGAAATAACACACTTGCCACCTTCCTTCCCATTTCAAAGGTGGAAAACTGAGGCACGGAGAAGTTCCTTACTCAAGGTCACACTGCTAGTAAAAAGAAAGATAGGACTGAAACCCAGGGAGCCTGGTCCTGGGATCCCTTCTAGCACCACCCCATACTGAAGAGCACTGCCCTCATGGAGAGTATATGTGGGTTCAATGAGAACCCAGAGATCCAGCATACGGTAGCTTGTCACTCACCAGCCCACACTCATTGAAGGCCAAGTTCTCGTCCTCTGACAATTTCTGCCCACACGAGGCCAGCAGCTCGAAGGGCAGCCAGTCACTCTGCAAGGCCTCCCGGACAAAGCTATACAGTGCTGCCACCCGCTCCCGGGCATAAAAGGTCCCTGAGGAATGGAACAGTCAGAATGGGGTTGGAGATCATGGGAACCCCTCAGCCCAGACAAGCTGAGCTGAGCCCAGATGAGTCTAGACCAGAGAGGCCTTCCACGCCTGCTGAAGGCACAGCAAACCCACAGATGCAGTTATTACACCACACCCAGATCAGCCAAATCAGCACAGACACCACCTCCCAGGCCCTTCCCTGCCCAGCAGGCAGCACACACCCTGGAGGAGGCAGCCGTCTGGGAGGCGAACACGCAGCAGTGTGTAAGTGTACTTGCGCATCTCCCTCTGCTCCTCCTTCTCCCGCATGGCCTTGGTCCGCAGCATGCTCAGCCTCTCCACTGCCTCAGACCTGAGCTTCTGCTCTCGTTTGGCCTCCTCGGCTGTGATGTTGAAGAAGTCAGAGGGCAGGTCAAACTGGGAAGCCAGGGGCGAGGGCTGGAAGACACGGCGCTGGCGGGCCAGTGTGGCCCGCACAGGCTCGGCACACAGCAGCTGCTCCTTGTGCCTCTCCAGGCTCTGTAGCTGGGCCAGGGCGGTCTTGCTTAGCACGTAGAACTCTTCGGGGCTCTCTGGGACACACAGGATTGTCACTGTGATGTCACTGTACTACAGCAGGAAGACCCCAAGCTAGGCCCTCACACCCGCACCACCTGATTTAGCCAAGGTCCTTCTCTACCCAGCTTACCCTGATCTGGAACTGGCAACAATGCCTTCTGGAAGCCAATGGCCTCAAAAAACTCATGGGTCCCTTCCAGGCAGTTAATACGCTCCTGGAAGCAGAGCCAGAAGTCATGCAGGGTCCTTGGGCCTCCTCAAGCCCCACCAGCATCACTGCCTAACCCATCCCACCAGGCCCAGCATCCCGTTTTGGAGTGGCTGCTGCTCACTGGACAGGATGAACTCCACCAAAGCTGCCTAAAGGAGAGGTTGTCACAGCTGGTCACAGACGGTGTAGGACCCCAAAGGTCAACAACCGGGGTGCAGAAGAACTAAAGAGCCAAAGAACAGCAGGGAGGGGTGTCCCAAAAATGAGAGCAGGGCTGCGAATGATGCTGGGAGGGCAGTGGGTGCCCTGCCAGCAGCACAGGTAACATGGGCCAGGGTAGAGGTACTCCTTGATTTCTCCACAGAAGCCAGAAGTCTGTGTTTGTGTAAGAAATCTCCCCAGTGCTGATATGATCCCAACTATAGAAAAGTCAAAACACATCACAGGTGATGGAGAATGCATATTAAATATAGATATCATGTATGATCTATGTTCATAAAATCCCCTCTCTACCTGCCACTCTGCCCAACCTGAAGCCCCTGGAGAAGCCGGCCCCCTGGCTCACCGCCAGACTGGGCCCTGTGTGACTGGAGGCCCAGCCACACTGGCGATGCAGGCTAAAAGTCACTCAACACAGCTCTCACCTGGAACACCTTGTTCTGCAGCTTGATCTTTCGGTATTTCTCCTCCTCGGGGTGCAGGTGGATATTATCCAGGTATCTAGGGCAGAATTGGGAATTGGGGAACAGGGAAAGAGTTGTCTGATTCCTCTCTACCTCCTACAGCAGCTCAGAGCCACATCTAAGTTGGTGGTAAGAGTGATAGGTGGCAGGGCAGGGGAATGCCATCACATCTCGGACACCGGACACCTCATGGAGCCTGATCCCTGGTGCCAACAGCCTGGGCCAGCATAGGACACCCATGCCCCCACCACTGCCCACCTGGAGCCCACTGCTGTGCCTGTTCCTGGGTCCTTCTTCCCCTGGAGCACACCAATGGACCACAGTAGCAGGGTGAAGTGGACAGAGTCAGAATAACAGGCCACCAGGGCCAATGGGCCACCAGTGTTGGCTTGGGGACTCGTGAGCAAAATGGGACTTCCAGCACCCCCAGATGTGTTCAGTCAGGGGAGTCGGGTGGGAACCCACCTCCTGTGCATTCCTCCGATGATCCCAAAGCGAAGCCAGGGTTTGAAATCCCCAATTCAGTAAACTCCTTTGTTTTACAGACAGATAAACGGAGGTCCAAATAAGCCAAGCCCCTTCCTCATGGGCTCAGGGGCAGTGAAGGGTGGGGCCAGGCCTCACTCCCCATGCCAGGCTCCTTCAGGGCCCTCTCAGCAGGTCATGCTAAAGGCCCAAAGGCCTGGCACCCCAGTGGGGGAAAGGGCACCAACTCACTTGGCAATGGTGTCCACGCCCAGCTTCACCCTGTCCCTGTCTTTGTTGAACGTGTGGATCTTCATGATGGAGGCAGCTACTGGGTCAGTGGAGAAGTGCTGGGAGGAGTGAGGAAAGCATAAGAGAAAGTGCTTACCTCACAGCCTGGAGGCCTTACTGCTCAGGAGGCAGGAGTAATAATACTAATAATGGTTTCATGGTGGACTGGCCGGTAGCATTTAACTGAAGGGAACTCAACTATATGTGCTCAGCAGAAAAGACAGAGAAAAGCTCTTTAATGACTCCATCCTGGGCCTCAGCCCTGCCCTCATCTCTAGGGAAGAGGGAGTTATCAACAGCCCAGATTATGCAACACAATTATGGCTACTGATCAGCAGACCTTAAAATAGGACATTAGCCTGGACAATCCAGGTGGGCCCAGGGTAATCACAAGAGCCCTCCAGGAGAGATGGTAGCTGGACAAAGACTTGGTTTGGCACCATGGCTATGAAGATGAAAGAAGGAGCCACAGAATACAGGTGGCCTGGAAGCCGGAAAAGGACAGGAAATGGAATGTCACAGAGCTTCCAAAGGGAGCACAGCCCTCCTGCCGCTAGTGAGAGTCACATCAGGCTGTGACTTCCAGAATTCTAAGGGACTAGACATGTGCATCTAAAGCCCATAGTTTGTAGTAATCTGTTATGATGGTTAATGAGAAACCCAGACCCAGGGCAAAGATATCCGGGTGTTCTTTTTGTTCTTGCAATTTTTCTTTAAGTTTGAAATTATTTCCAAATTCAGTTTTAGGAGAAAAATATAACATTGGAGTTCTTCTTGTACTGATATAATAGCTGGCAGTTCCTACGTTAAGCATGAGCAGTATGTTACCTTTTATGAAAAACAAAACAAGTGAAGGATATACAAGTACGTCAGTAGTTTGTACGTATTTGAAATGTCTCTGAAGAGGGACTTAAACCACCCACAGAGGTTGCCTCCTGGGAGGGTGGCTGGGAGGTGGGTAGAAGGCGGCTTTTGTCTGACTACCCTTTTGGATTCTGCTTACCACATGTAAGCATTACCTATTTGAAGAAGTGACAACAGACACAATATACACAGGTGATATACACTAGCATCTGTACCACCGGCCTTACTGGGGCTTATTGAAGGCAGCTCTGACCCTGCAACCTCTAGGTGAGAGACAGGAGCATGGGGCCTCCACTCACTGAGAGAATGGCCTCTTTGATTCGGGTGTCTCGCTGGTCCTTCCTCAGGATGGCCCCTGTAAGCGGGCAGGTGAAGTACACTCCAGGCACCACCAGGTGAGTAGAGACTTCCTCTTTGGGCTCAGGTACCTGGGGGGATGGGGATGAAAGTATCTGAGCCTAGAGTGTGGACAGAGGCCACCCCAACTCACTGAGTGCCACAGCCCTGAAAGCATGGCCTGGGAGTCAAACATCCCTGATCCCAACGCTGTCCCCTTTACCATTAAACACCTTGGCCCATGAGCAAGCCCCTCTAAGGCTGTTTTCTGGTCTGTGAAACGTCTCTGCAGTACTAGCTCAGAATTCAACAAGGCATGAAACAAGGCATTGAGCACTTCGAACACAGTGCTCAATCAATGGCGTTTGCTGTTCCTGTCCCTGCTACCTGGTAGAGAAGGGGCTTTGTGGTGAGGATCAAGTCATGGTGCCCTGGACAAGTTTGGCCTTTCTCTGAGCCTCAAATCTTAGGCAATATCTAGGATCTCTTCCCCTCTAAAATCTAGTGACAATTCGAGGGTTAAAATGCTAGGAATACCCTTTCTGCAGAGCTCTCCTTCAGGATGGCCTCTGATTACACTGGTCTCCACAGAGCCCTCCTACCGCCCAAGAAGGCTGCGGAGGGCAGTGCTAAGGGTACTGGCTTTGAAGTCCCACAGACTGGGGTTCCCATTCTGCCCCTGCCGATTTTGAGATGCATGAATGAGGACAACTGCCTTCACCTCCCTGAACCTGTTTCCTCTTCTGAAAAGTATGACTATAACAGACATTTCAGTTACAGAGTTGGCGGGGGGACCAACAAGCTAATGGGGTCCAGTCCTACCCTTGGCACCCAAGCCTGGCATCATTAGGTGCTGAGCGTGGAGGTTCCAGTCAACACTGCACTCAACCGCAGCCCACCACCACCTTTTAAGGCAGGGTTCCCCCAGGCCAATGGCAACCTCTATCCATCCTGATTCTCTTCTGCATTCCTCCCTGCTGCTCCCACCACCAGGTGCTTACAGCCCAGGGCTGGGCACTTGGCTGGTAATGAGGAAATGACTAATTAGACAAACGCAAGCAAGAACTTGGGGGGCGGGGTCCCAGTTCCCCTGCTCCAGGCCACCCCTTGGGGTGTCATGCTGCCACGTGGATGCTTTTACCATGTTAGTCCCTGGGGCCTCCGAGCTCCCACTGACAGTGGCTTCAGTTCGAAGTTCCTTTCTCACTGGAGAGAGAGGCAGAAATGGGTCAGCGTGTGGCTCCTCTGGGAGTGGCCCTCAAGTGGGTCAAGTTCTAGTCCTTTTTCTAGCTTTAGGTCCTGGCCCATCTTCCTGCAACAATGCTTCACGCCCCCAGGCTTCACCTGACCATCTGATGATTACTTTTGACTTTTTCCTTCTCCTCCCTCCCCTCTTCAACCTCATCACCCAGACCACATCAGACCCTTGCTCCTTTTCACCCTGAATTTCCCCACTGTCGCTACTATGATTTTAAAGCCCCTCGAAGTCATTGGTTATATAATTATTTTCATCCAAGGCTAAGCACAGGATCTGGGGCCTGTGAACAGCCACAGACAGGCTTCAAAGACAGAGGGGCAGAGGCCTCACTTCCACCTCCCCTCACCTGCCCCCACTGCAGCCCAAGGACAGCACAGCTCACCCTGGTTCCGGATGAAGTCCTGTGATGTGGGGCCCCGGGCCCTCGGCTGCTTCTGCTCAAGCCGGGCCAGGGCCGCTGCGGCTGCCATCTGTGCCTCATTGGTGGGTCCCTGGCGGGGCTGCCGGAGCGCCAGCTGGTTGGACTTTTCTTTGGGGGCCTTCTCCCTGGGGAGAGACATAGGGAAAGTGAGGTGATAGAGGTCAGACAGAAGAACCTCTGCCCCTCTCCCATTTCTACTCCTGCCTCCTCAGCCAGGTATGTCCCTTTTTCCCAGGGATATCCCCACTCCCCCATGGCCACCATAAGGTTCTAACACATGAAAGCCCTGGAGGCAGATGGTAATTTCATTCCCAGCTCTCCCCTTTGAGCAAGTCCTGCACTGGCCTGGGCCTCAGAGGCATCATCTGTTAAATAGGGGCAACGGGTTACAGCACCCATGCCCACATGGGGGCCATCTTGGTAAAGCATGTGTGACAGCACCTTAATGTCTTCAGGAACTGATGTGACTCAAAGGTGTCATTCCTCTCCTCACTCCCTCCTAAGTAAGAATCTTGACCCATATTATCAGCTGCAGTTTCTTTCTTGTTTTTTTTTTAAATCCTCACCCGAGGACATTTTTGCATTTATCTTCAGATAGAGCGGGAGGGAGAGAGGGAGGAAGAGAGAGAGAGAAACATTGATGTGAGAGAGACACATCAACTGGCTACCACCCACACGACCCCAACTGGGGCCAGGTACAAACTGCAACCAAGGTACGTGCCTTTGACCGGAACTGAACCTGTGACTCATTGGTCCACGGGCTGATGCTCTAACTGCTGAGCCAAACCAGCCAGGCTCTTTCTTCCTTTTTTAAACAGTAGTTTATTGATTTTTAGAGAAAGAGTAAGAGAGTGAGAAAAACATCTATGTGAGAATGAAACATCCATCAGCTGCCTCCTGTATGTCCCCTACCAGGGACCAAGCCCACAACCTGTATATATGCCCTGAGTGGGAATCCAACCAGCAACCTTTCGGTGCATTGGATGACACCCAACCAACTGAGCCACACTGGCCAGGGCACACTTGCAATTTCATTAACTGAGCTCCTACTGTGTGCCAGGTAGCACATAGTGTTTATTCCTCATACCAACATCCCCCTGAGGGTGGTCTTAAGATCTTCTTTTGCAAGTCCTATAGGGTCACAGAAGCTCAGATACCACATAAGCCCTGGGTTAAGCATGGTATAAAGATCTGGTTTAATCTCACCTCTACCCTGGGAAACAGTGTTGTGATAACCCCTGGGGATGAAGGGCTTCATAATCTACTTAGCAGGAAAATGAGCTGGTTTTGAATGTCCCAGCAGAGAAAGCATTCCTCCCACCCTGGTCTTACCTACCTTGCCTACCTTCTTCCTTAAGTCTCCAGGACCCAGTAATTGGGATCATCTGTGCTAAGTCTGTAACACCTTCCAAGGAGCCAAGGCTCTCAGTTCATGACCTCAATCCTCCCACTCTTTTCAGATATGCGGGCGGGCAGCCCCTCTTGTTCCAAGGCCTCTGGGACCTGCTTCCTGCCCATTCCTGCCGTTCTTGTCAGTCCTCCCCACAGCTAAGAACCTCATGTTGAAGAAAAAAATGAATCACATAGATGCACCTGAGTCCCATGTGATATTCTGATCTTTCTATAAAAATGCCACTTTCTACCCAGCCAGTGTGGCTCAGTTGGTTGAGCACTGTCCCATGCACCAAGAGGTTGCCGGTTCAATTCTTGGTCAGGGCCCATGCTTGGGTTGTGGGTTCAATCCCTAGTAGGGGGTGTGCAGGAGGCAACTGATCGATGTTTTTCTCTCATCGATGTTTCTGTCCCTCTCCCTCTCCCTTCCTCTGTCTTTTTTTTTTTGGTGGTACGTGCCCCTAGCAGAAACCGAACCCGGGACTCTCTGGTCCGCAGGCCGACGTTCAACCGCTGAGCCAAACTGGCCAGGGCCTCTGTCTTTAAAACAAACAAACAAACAAACAATATCAACAAAACATATATAAAAAAGCCACTTCCCAAAATACCTCACCCACCCCCTTCATGGATCCGCTGGGCAGCCAGAGGGATCTCTCTAAAACCTAAGTCAGTGCTTATCATACCTCTGCACCAAGTCCTCCCAACGCCTGTACAACAGAATCCTAAAGCCACCCACATCCCCACGGGCCATGCACAACCTGCCCATCTCCCTGGTTCACTCTTCTCTATCTACACCGGTCTCCTTGCTGTTGCTCACACAGGGCTAACTTGTTCCTGCCACAGGGCCTTTGCACTTCCTGTGCCTTCTGTCCAGAATGTTCCATCTGGGGGTGGGATGAGGAAAGGAAGTCTGGGACAGGGTAAAGAAGCTGTGTGCGTGTGCGTGTGCGTGTGCGTGTGCGTGTGTGTGTGTGAGAGAGAGAGAGAGAGAGAAAGGGGGGGGGGTTGATTTCCACATGGCTAAATCTTACCTCATCCAGCTCTTGGCTCACATGTCACCTTCTCAGAGAGGCATTCCTAGACCATATAAAGGTACCCCCTCACCCCCACAGTACTCACTATCCCCTGCCCCTGCTTCTTCTTTTCATGGCCCCATGCACCACCTAATCTTTCATCATTCATGTATTGGTTTCTTTTTCCATCTTCCCCCACTAGAGGGCAAGCGCTGAGAGAAGGGGAATTTTGTCTCCCTGGTACTGACAGTGCCTGACACACCCTCCAGCACACCCTGATTCTCCCATCCCACTCCAGGCATGTCACAAAAACCTGCAACTACAAATTACTTCCTTCCCCTCTCCTCCCAGGCCTCCAGTCTGGCACAACAATCACCCACAAGGCCCCTACTTTCTTCCTGTCACACAGTGCCAGCTGCCCCAGCCCCAATCTCCACCTACCACTTGTTAAATGAATGGACCCCTTTGTCTTGTCCACCACTCTCCCTGGCCCCCCATACCCCACTCAGGTTCCCAGGACCTGATTTTGTCTGCTGTGATTTCCTCCCTTACTAATGGACCTGGCCCTCATGGGCCTCCTTGGTCCCATTCAGTGCTCCCCTCTCAAGAATCTCAGGAACCCCCAATACTTATGACATGCCCTGAGGTCCTTGTCCTGCACCCACTCTCCCTCACCCACCTCATGATTCCCTCACCACCCCTTCCTGTCCTTCTCCATGCCTCTCCTCCTACCCTCCCAGCCCCTAACTCTTCACAATCCCTTCTATTATTCCTCACAGACCCCTGCCCTGGCTGGGGTCTTTTCTCAATCACCACCCCCCCAGTCCCCATAGATCCCCCTGTAGCTCCCTGCAGCAGCCCCAGCATTTCCCAGATTCCTTTTGCTAATTCCATACCCAGTGGAGCTTCCTTCTCAGCTCACCAGCCCTGACAGTCTAGCATCCTCACCTGCCCCACTGTTTCACTGTCCCCTCCATGGCACTGGCTCTTCCCATCTCCAAGTCCTCCCCAGAAAGCTCACAACAGCCTAAAGGTGTGCGCACCACCTCCCCTACCCTTACAGAACTCCCAAGAGCCCCCCTTTTAACTCAACTCAACCATCACCCACAAGGCCCCCATCTCCTTCCCATCACAGACAGAGACACACACACACACACACACACACACACACACACACGACTTACCCCACTCCCAGCCTCCATTCTCCTCCCAGACCTTCTTAGGCCCCTCGTAGCCCTTTCCAATTCACTGAGACCTCCAAAATCCCTGCCTACCCTTTCAACAATGCCTCAGACTCCCTGGCCTCCCAGGCTCTCATCCAGTCCTCCCTTGCGTTCCAGAATCAGGGCCCAGACCCCTTACACCATGGTCACTAAGCCTCTGGACTCTGCTTCTCCAGGCTCAGGCCCCAATCCCCGTCACTTAGATTCCCCCAAATCTACATGCCTCCACTGGGGTCCTTCTTCGGCCCCTGGTGTCTCCTTTTCTGGGTCTCCGGGTTCACCCACCTCACCCTGCAGCCCCGCCCCCTCGTCCCCTCCTCCTGCCCCGCCCGCTAAGGCTTCGCCCCTCCCACTCCGCCCCCGGAGGTCTCCCCTTTCCCTTACTCCCACCCGCTCGCTCCCTGTGCCCCTGCCCTAGAGATCTCTCCCCTACCCGGCCTGCCCTCCTCACCCCCTCGCCCTCTCTGGCCTTCGGAGGCCGTCTCCGACCCCGGGCCTCACGTCCCAGACGCCGTCACGCACCCCACCGACTCCGTGAGCTTCTGTCCGGAACCTGCGCTCTTAAACTTGATGTCAGTCTTGATCTCCTGGAAGAACTTCTTCATGGTGGCGGCAGGCTCGGCGGCCCGGGGCCGCGGAGGGGGGCGGGGGGCGCAGGGCCCAGTGGAGTTGGTAAGAGCCAACAACCAGGGGGGAAGGGGGAGGGCATAAGGCACTACCGGAAGTCCCGCCTCCCCGGACCCCAACACGTGACAATCGGCCTGGCACGCCTTCTCAGTTTTTCGCGCTTCCCTGGCCTGCGGCGACCGCTCTGCACTCCCGGGCTCCGTCTCGGTGGCTTTTCCCCCCGGACTCTGTTGCCAGGGGCGACGAGCGCGCTTCTGGATGCTGGCTGTGCTTGGGCACCTTCCACCGCGTTCCCCAAGGGGTAACAGGAGAGGAGGGACAGGCCGACTTGACCCCACGGAAGAAGCGCTGGCCCTGCTCACAACCTTCCCTGGCTCCCCAGCGCTTATGTGATAAAGTCCCAATTCAATTGTAGGAAGCATTCAAGGCCCTCACAACCCAGCTCCGTGGTCATTCCAGTATCCCGCCATCCCTCTTAACCTTCCTGAACTTCAGTTTCCTATTTATGAAATGGGGATAAGAATACCACCCGTTTTCTAGGAAGACTGTACGCATGATAATGCAACTGGAAGGCTCAATACATGGCCGGCTTTATGTTTTACTCCTTTAATATTTCTTGAGAGTGGGCTCTATATCATCAATGAGAAAAACAGGCAAAAGTCCCTGACCTCGCAGAGCTCATGATGTTTTCTATGGGCTTGGGGAGGGGCAGACAACATGATAAATAAAATCTATGGTAGGGTAGATGGTGTTAAGTGCTATGGAGAAAAAGTGAAAAACAGGAATAGAAGACAGAGTGAGGGCAGTTTGCAACATCAAATAAGAGGGTCAGGCACAGGAAAAGGACAGTTTTGAGACCACGGACATTTGAATGTGTCTGAACATTAGATGATATAAAGGAGCTACTGTTAATTTTGCTAACGGTGATCATGTCATGGTAGCCATGTTTAAGTATGCTTTATTTAGAGATGTATTCTGAGGTATTTATGGGTGGAATGACATCTGAGATGTGCTTTTAAATAAATACTCCAGCATGCCCGGCCTTTGTGGCTCAGTGTTTGAGCATCGACCCATGCACCAAGAGGTCACCGGTTTGATCCCCTCGATCATATACCCAGGTTGTGGGCCCGATCCCCAGTGGGGGGCATGCAGGAGGTGACCAATCGATGTTCTCTCTCATCAATGTTTCTATCCCTCTCTTCCTCTCCCTTCCTCTCTCTCTAAAAATGAATAAAGACAATTTTTTTTTAATCCTCACCCGAGGACATTTTTCCATTTTTGTTCAGATAGAGTGGGAAGGAAAGAGAGGAAGAGAGGGAGAGAGAGAAACATCCACGTGAAAGGGACACATTGAATGGCTGCTTCCTGCACAACCCCAACTGGGGCCAGGGACAAACTGCAACCGAGGTCCGTGCCCTTAGCGGGAACCGAACCCAGGTCTCTCTGGACCACAGGCTGACACTTTAACTGCTGCGCCAAACCGGCCAGGGCAGAAAAAAAAAAATTTTAATAAATAAATACTCCAGCAGGCCAGCCAGTGTGGCTCGGTGGGTTGAGCGTCCTCCTATGGACTGAGAGTCCAGGTTTGATTCCCTGTCAGGGTACTTGCCTGGCTTACTGGCTGGATCCCCAGCAGGAGGCTTTCAGGAGGCAGCCGATCTATATGTCTCATTAACATCGATGTTTCTACTTCTCCCTTCCTCTCTCTCTCTAAAAAAAAAAAAATCAACAAAAACATATTTAAAATAAATAAATAAATACCCCAGCAAAAAAAGTATACACAGGTACTCACACATATATACTTTAGATAGCAATTGTAATGGCAGTATTTTCTCCATGTGGCAGAATGTGAGAGCAGTCATTCCCCAAACATTAACTGAGTATCTACTATGTGTCAGGCCAGGAGAGTCATAGCAGGGAACAAGACAGGCAGGATCCTGCTCTGGAGGAGCTCACAGTCAAATAGAGACACAGCTATTAAACAAGTAAATAGTGCCTGGTAGTACTCACTTCTATTAAGAAATATACATGCCCTAGCTGGTTTGGCTCAGCCATTGGAGCATTGGCCTGCAGACCAGAGAGTCCCGGGTTCGGTTCCCACTAGGGGCATGTACCAAAAAAAAAAAAAAAAAAAAAAAAGACATATACAGTAGGCCCCTGGCTGGTTTGGCTCAGCAGTTAGAGCATTGGCCAGCAGACCAATGAGTTTCGGGTTCGATTCCGGTCAAGGGCATGTACCTCTGCTGTGGTTGGCCCTGGCCTTGGCCGGGGTCTTGTAGGAGGCAGCCAGTCAATTTGTCTCTCTCATGTTGATATTTCTCTCCCTCTCTCTTCCTCCCTCCCACTCTATCTGAAGATGAATGGAAAAATATTCTCAGGTGAGGATAAAAAAAATAAAATAAAATCTTTAAAAAAAAGAAAACTGCCCTGGCCGGTTTGGCTCAGTGGTTAGAGCATTGGACTGCGGACCAGAGAGTCCTGGAATCAGTTCCTGCTAAGGGCACATACCTCGGTTGCAGTTTGTTGAGGTTGTGTGGGTGGCAACCAGTCGATGTGTCTCTCTCACATCGATGTTTCTCTCTCTCTTTTCCTCCCTCTCTCCCTCCCGCTCTATCTGAAGATAAATGCAAAAATGTCCTCGGGTGAGGGTAAAAAAAAAAGAAAATGCCTGGCCTGTGTGGCTCAGTGGTAGAGCATCAACCCATGCACTAAGAGGTCGCCTGTTCGATTCCCGATCAGGGCCCCTGTGTGGAGCATGCAGGAGGCGGCCAGTCGATGTTCTTTCTCATCAGTGTTTCCATCTCTGTCTCCCTCTCCCTTCCTCTGTTTCTCTAATATATCAGTAAAAAAAAAAAAAATTAAAAAAGAAAAGAAATATACAGTAGGAAAAAAGTACAATAGGAGAAAGGAATCAAGAGTTACGGGAATTCTCTTTTAGATAGGCTAAGTAAGGTCTGACATTTGAATATAGACCCGTGAAGGAGACAAGGAATCAAACCACAGGGATACCTGGGAGAAGATCATTCCAGGCAGAGGGAAGAGCAAAGGGAAGGGTCTTAAGGTGATGGCTTATTCAAGGAACATGGCTGGAGCAGGGTGAGTGAAGGGTCTGAGAGTAGATTCTTTGCTAAAAGCAAGTAATGTCTGATCATCCCCTCTATGGAATATTCTATAACCACCAGAAAATGTGAATATGGGAACTAAATACAGGAATAATAGTAATTGCTACATAACAAATTATCCCCAAATTTAGCATCTTACAATAACAAACATCTCATAATTTCTGTGCATCAGGACTTAGGAGTGGCTTAGCTGGGTGGTTCTGGCTCAACACTTTCAAGCTGTTGGCTGGGGCTACAGTCTCACCTAAAAGCTTGACTGAAGGAGGGTCTACTTCAAAGCTCACTCAAATGATTGTTGGCAGGCTTCAGTTCCTTGCTGGCTCTTGACTAGATTCCTGAGTCCTTTCTATATGCTATATGAACTTTTCTACAGAGGGTTAGAGTGTCCTTACAACATGGCAGCTGGATTCCGAGAGAGAGAGAGAGAGAGAGAGAGAGAGAGAGAGAGAGAGAGAGCGCGCTACAGTATTCTTGTTTTTAAATAGAATTACAGATGATTTTTATTTCTTTTTTTTTCTTCTTTATTGATCTTAGAGAGACAGGAAGGGAGAGGGAGGGAGAGATAGAAACATCAATGAGAGAGAACATCAATTGGCTGCCTCCTGCATGTTCCCCACTGGGGATTTGGCCCACAATCTGGGCATGTGCCCTGACCGGGAATCAAACCAGCGACCTCTTTGTGCATGGGTCGATGCTCAACCAGTGAGCCACACCAGCTGGGCGCTGCAGTCTTTTTATAATTTAATATTAAACTTGCCATACAATAATTTCTGCCATTTGTATTGGTCATACAGACTCACCCTGGTACAGTGTGGGAGGGGACTTCACAATAATGTCAATACCAGGAGGCAAAGATCACTGGGACCCACCTTGAAGGCTTCCTACCACACTAGAGCACTGGGTAAAATTTCAATAGATGATGCTGTCTGCCCACCTGTTTACAGTATGTAGAAAGCCTGCTATGGAAAAACAAGACGGGGATAAGGGGCAAAATTCTAACATTGATTATTTGGGTTGGGAGGATCATAGGGAATTTTCTCCCTTTTCCCCCCTAGTCTCCAAATTTTATGGAATATATTTTATGGAATGGAGCTCTGTGCCTTTTATAATAGAAAATAATATTTAAGCCCAGCCATTGTGGCTCAGTGGGTTGAGCATTGTCCCATGCAACAAGAGGTTTCAGGTTCGATTCCTGGTCAGGGCACATGCCCGGGTTTCAAGCTCAATCACCAGTAGGGGGCATGCAGGAGGCAGCAGATTGATGTTTCTAGCTCTCCCTCTTGCATCCTCTCTCTCTAAAATCACTTATAAACATTTTTTTTATCCTCACCCGAGGACATTTTTTGCATTTATCTTCAGATAGAGTGGGAGGGAGAGAGGGGTGAAAGAGAGAGACACATCGACCGGCTGACAAACCACAACTGAGATATGTGCCCTTAGTGGGAACCAAACCTGGGACTCTCTGGTCTGCGGGCCAATGCTCTAACCGCTGAGCCAAACCGGCCAGGGCTATAAACATTTTTTAAAAGAAAATAATATTTAAAAATACAAGGCAAGCCCTGGCCAGTTTGGCTCAGCAGTTGAGCGTCGGCCTGCGGACCAGAGAGTCCCAGGTTCAGTTCCCACTAGGGGCACATACCACCAAAAAAAAAATACCAAAAAACAAAACACAAGGCAATTGGATTAAACTTCTAGGCCTCAGTCATAGGAACTACAAGGGGAGAAGAAACAAATGAAACACATCATGAGGAAACAGACAAATCCAGCATGTGACACATTCTCTAAGCCAATTGGTTTGGTTCCTTAAAAAAGTCAAATTTGTGCCCTGGCCAGTTTGGCTCAGCGGTGAGAGCGTTAGCCTACAGACCAAAGGGTCGAAGATTTGATTTCCGGTCCAGGCAGTATACCTGGGTTGTGAGTTTGATCCTGCCCCCAG